CAAAAGTTCTCCCTCTGTTATCAACCATCGCTCTGAAAACAGGTATTGGGCATAGGGTGGGCAAGGGTCTGGGGTGATCTGGCCCAGGAGCCCTTTGTTAGACCACCAGTTTTGCTCCATCCTTTTTGAAATAAAATGCCCATTAGTAAATTCTTAGACTCTTGAAAATAAAACTCCTCCCTTTTCTTCAAAAGGGGAAGGGGGTGTACAGTTTTACCTTTTGTGACATTAATGGGAATACCTTTCTGTTTGAGTTAGCCATTGTATTGAGATAGATTTGTTTTTAAACAAAATTAAAGAATTATCCTTTATTTAGAATTTTTTGGAGGACAGGAAATAGAGAAGATGTTACATTTTTAAATCAAAGATCTTTTAAGCATCTCATCAGATAATTATGGTTTTTTTTATATTACATTTTGATGTTACAAATTACATCAGGACATAGTTTAATATTAAAACTTTTTTCTTCCTAGAATGAATTGTCGCTTGGTCACAGTAGTCTATTTAAGTTTAGTAATGGATCATATTTGTTGAGCTTTACATTATTCCTCGTGATTGTAAGGTCTTAAAAGTCTATGTCATTTATTTGAGTTTTTGATTTATTCATTCTCTAGTGAGAATTTGATTCAGGCGTGTATTTGCTCATAAGCAGATTTGCTCCAGTTTACCTTGCATTACATCATTGCCCACCTTATCCACCCATATACTCCTCCTTTTATATCCTAAGCTGGAGATCTATTGATGGTCATTTTTATCACCTATTCATCAATTTAGTAGCCTAAAGAGAAAGAGTTGACTAATTTCTCCTTAATCCTTATTAACCTGCAGTCTACATATGTTCGTTAAAAATGACTTGATTTTTTACTATTTTTTGAGCTAAACACCAACAGGCATCCTTGACTTCTGTCTTCCTTTCAGTTCACATACTGTCTAGCAGAAAATCCCATCTACTTGTTAACACAACTTTAAATTTGTATATCAGAATCTATATCCTAACTTTTGTTTGTATGTAATTATTTTGCTGCTTAAATTGCGAGTTGTGAAATACGTTTAAATTATCTCCCAGTGTTAGACATCCTTCCACTGTTATTCCATTGCTCTATCGGTATTGAATGTTACTCTGGCCATGCCTAATGACAAATGGATTTTTTTTCCCCACGGTTTTAGTGACTTGCTCTTTTTTTTCTGGATACCTGAATGATTGAATGACCCAACCCCTTCCCTCACCTCAGCTCACCTCAACTCAACTCACTTCACCTCACCTCACCTCAGTGTACCTTTCCCTTTCTCTTTTTTAATTTTCTTAGAGTCCACTAACTTACCAGGCTATATCTTGGTGTTGACACTTTAGGTTCAGTTTACCCTGGGATATACTGTACTCTTGACATTTTTACATTCATACTTCTTTTCTGTCAGGAAGATGTTCTTGCTCAGGATCTTTAAAGGTATTCCCTGTTAGATTATTTCAGTTTTCTCTTCAAGAAATCAGTCATTTAAACTTATTTCCATTGTATTTTCCACATTCTTCTCATCTGTTCCCATGTCCATTGCTGCATTTAAATTTAATTTTTTTTTTTTTTACTTATAGATGGCCACGTTATCTTTATTTATTTATTTTTATGTGGTGCTAAGGATCAAACCCAGTGCCTCCTCACAGGTGCAAGACAAGTGCTCTACCACAGGGCCCCAGCCCTAGCCCCTTATTACTGCATTTTTAATGGATCTTTTCCTGTTTACTGTTTTCACTTGTACTTGAATTTCTATGACAGTTTTATTCCTCTGCTTTTTTCATTAGTTCTGCCCATTCATGTTTTAACTTTCTGGTTGCTCTTCTGTTTCTTCCCTAAGTTCATATAGCTTTACCTTGTGCACAGATCCTAATGAAGGTACTTGCTCTATTAAATATATTTTTTTAATTAATGGGGAACAACTTGGTCATGCTTTGAAGTAGTTAACGGAAACATTTTTAATATATTCTATACTTTTCCTAATTTTTATAAATAGCAATTTTGGATGTATCTTTCCTGCAGCATTTATTTTGGGAGAAATGTGAGTTTTTTCATCATCAACTGTTTATAAGAGGCTCATGTTTTAAGAGAAGCAAGGATCAGGTTCCTGGTCAGCTGGAAGTTTCTATAGGCCCCAATGTGTATGTGTTTGTCCTCTTTTCAGGCTATCCTTTCATTCTTCTACCTAACTATGGACGTGGTGGATTTTCTGTTTGTTAAAAATTGTCTCTGTAACCTAACCAATAATTAATAATTGATTTTTCTGTGACTTCTTATTCTACCTTGCTTCTTATACTTCTTAGAACCATACTGGAGCCAAGTTTTCCCATGTTGCTTTCTGATGTATTACATTTCCATTTTTGAGAACTCTAGATTAAGTTTGGCATCTTATTTATAGTCCTCATTTTTTAGAAATTTACTTGATTTTTCTTCTAATGGTTTGTTTTAGTCAACGTTTTGTTGCTGTGACTAAAATACCTGACAAAAACAACGTAGAGTAGGGAAAGTTTATTTGAGACTTATATGTCTCAGTCTGTAAACAGCCTACTCCATTGCTCTGGGCTCAAGGTGAGGCCCACATCATGGCAGAAGGGACCAGCAGAGGAAAGCTGCTCATCTCATGGCAACCATGAAGCAGAGAGAGAGAGAGAGAGAGAGAGAGAGAGAGAGAGAAGGTGGGGAGAGCACCCTCTACCCCTGGGAGGGCAGATGCATCCATCCAGGCCTTGTTCCTAGTGACCCGCCTCCTATAGCCATGCGCCACCTGCCTATAGTAACAACCTAGTGAGTCCATGAAAACTAGGATGAGCTGATTACGTTATAGCTCTCATGATCTATTCGTCTCACCTTTGAATATTCCTACATCAACAGGAGATTTGGGGGAACACCTCATATCCAAACCCTAATTTATTTATTTATTTTTAAGACATTTATAATTTGTTTCTTATCATGAACATCTATGGTATACTTTCTTGATCTTCCCCTTCCCTAGCAGTGTTTGTCCTGTTTTCACTATTTTTGGCTGCCCTTTAACTCATTTTTGCAGTTAAAATTCTGTGATATGTTACTTTTCTTCTTTTTCTTTGGTTTTGGGTCGTTTCTAAGATGAGAAAGGAGGATGCCAACATACATCACAGTCTTTAAACTAGACTTCTTTCATTTTGGTTCCATTTGTATCTTACAAAAATGATTTTTCTATTGTAAATCATGAATGGAACATTTCTCTAAATTGTTGCTAATGAGTTTTCTTTTGTTTTTATGTGCTTTTGGTTATTGTTTCCATGTGCTAGGGAGTGACATTGAATTGCTATTTCAGATAGGTAAAGATGTTTGCCAAACATCTTCTCTCTATTTATTTAGGTATGTTTTGAATAGGCAACATACAATTGTATCTAAATGTCATAGAATTTTTAAACATGTTAGAAAGTAATCAGTAGATTAATGAGCCTTCCATGTACCTGTCACTTATCTGAAGAAACAATATTTTGCTATTTTTTTATTTCCCCCCATACACCACATACACATTATTATACTTTAGGACCGTAAGACAAATTTTAGAGACTCCATTTTACCTATAAACAATTCAGTATATAACTCTGACAGATAAAGACCTATTTGAAATAACAAAAATGAACAAAAACCCAAACCATTTCCACTGTACCATTACTATATTTAATAAAATTAACAAAATTTCTCTAGTCTTATCTAGTAGCTATTACATATTTTTCGGTGTGACTGAAAAATACTTTTACAGTTTGAATCAATATCAAATACTCTTCACATTTGCTTAGCTGTTCTTTTAAAATTTGTAACAATTTCCTTTTCCTCTTTTTTTTTTTTTAATGCCATTTTCCCACTAAAGATATAATATATGTAATAATGTATAGGATTCTCCAAATTCTGGATTTGGTTAACTATTTCCACCTTGTGGTATCTTTTAATATATTTCTCTAATTTCTGTATTTCCTATCACTGATAATGAAATAGCTATAACTGATTAGATTTAGGTTCAGTGTTCTGGGCAAGAATCAGTGTGTATCTTGCAGCACTGTAGGAGACCTTTGAATCCTGCATTTCTTCATGGTGTTATAATAGATCAGTGGGTTAGCTGTTCCCACCCTGACAGTGAGATACCTAGGTATTGACATTTTACCCAAAGGTCATTTCCTAGATTGATGGCAGAATTATTATTCTGTCATTCTTTTTGTAATTAATTAATTGTTGATAGAAAAGTATGGCACTTTGGCATTTTCAAATTTGCTGATGTTCCCTGATGAATTTTTAGAATAAGTAGCAGTTGAGAGGATGCATTAGTATTCTTGTGTGTGTTTTAGTCAGTGTTTTTGTCACTGTGACTAAAAGATCTAACCAGGACAACTATAGAGGAGGAAAGGTTTATTTAGGGGCTCCTAGTTTCAGAGGTCTCAATCCATAGATAGTGGGCTCCATTCCTCAGGGCTTGAGGTGAGGCAGGACATCATGGCAGAAGAGTGTGGCAGAAGAAAGCAGCTCACATGATGATCAGAAAACAAAGAGAGAGGTCTCCACTTTCCAGATACAAATATTTGTCCCAAAGTCATATCCCCGATTCCCATCTCCTCTAACCATACTCTCTCTCTTCAGTTAGCACTCAGTTAATTCCTATCCTAATGTACTGATTGGGTTAAGATGCTTATAACCCAATTATTTCTCCTCTGAACCTTCTTGCATTGTCTCACATGTGAGCTTTTGGGGGACACCACACATTCAAACTAACAATGTGGATTTAGAGGGGAAAAATCTAGATTAGAAATTGTCCATTGGTCTTTGAAAAAAATAATTTCAGTAAGAACAACTTGAAGATCATTCAAAATAATTAAAAATATAACTTCATAACTTGTCCTATAAGATCTGTGTTTCTGTGTGTAGGTATTACTTTAGTTCCTCAAGAATGCATCTATACTTTTAGGACATATTTTCCAAAATATACTTTTATTTTTCCCCTTTACATAGGTTATTAAGTGTGGTATGCTGTGATCTGGACACTCTTCTCCTGTTAGAGGCTCAGTATCAAGTATCCAGAATGTTACTACATGCTCAAGAAGAAAATATCTTGGAGATTTCCGAGAACCACAGGTTAAAGTAAAGGGTGAAGGAGGGAGGTGGGCATTAGAACTTGATATAATAACATTTTTTGTTATAGTTTATTTGTTAAGAAAGTATTTTTCTATAGTTTGTTTTCTTTTTTTATTTTTATTTATTTATTTTTTTTATTGGTTGTTCACAACATTACAAAGCTCTTGACATATCATATTTCATACATTAGATTGAAGTGGGTTATGAACTCCCAATTTTACCCCAAATGCAGATTGCAGAATCATGTCGGTTACACATCCACAATTTTACATAATGCCCTATTAGTAATTGTTGTATTTTGCTACCTTTCCTATCCCCTACTATCCCCCCTCCCCTTCCCTCACATCTTCTCTCTCTACCCCATCTACTGTAATTCATTTCTCTCCTTGTTTATTTTCCCATTCCCCTCACAACCTCTTATATGTAATTTTGTATAGCAATGAGGGTCTCCCTTCATTTCCATGCAATTTCCCTTTTCTCTCCCTTTCCCTCCCATCTCATATCTCTGTTTAATGTTAATCTTTTCTTCCTGCTCTTCCTCCCTGCTCTGTTCATAGTTTCTCTCATTATATCAAAGAAGACATTTGGTATTTGTTTTTTAGGGATTGGCTAGCTTCACTAAGCATAATTTGCTCTAGTGCCATCCATTTCCCTATAGTTTGTTTTCTTAATTTCTGAATTCAGTAGGTTTAAGTAATAGTAAGAAGCAATTAAAGCATAAATCACACAGAATGATAATATACATTTTTGGAGAAGTCTTAACAGAGTACTACTTTCAAAATCTGAATTTTTTTTTTTTTAGGTTAAGCTTAACTTTATTAATGGTTCCATGAAATTGTATCACTTCATAATTCATGTCTAAGATGACCCATTGAATGAAGTGTTTGATTTTGTGTCCCTTATAGAGGCACTTTTTCTTCATCCTTTAGTTATTTTAGCTCATAGTCATAAATTCTGATTATTTGCAAAATAAATAATATTTTCTGTTAACATGTGCCATTACCTCAATTTGACTGACATTTACTAATAATATATTCAATAACTGACATTATTTTCATGTGTGTACCTTAAAATAAAAGAATATTTCATCTCCATCCTAGACAGGTCTTGGAATGTTATAGCATATATTACTTGATACTCTAGGTTTGATGTGAAAGAAAAGGATTAACTGTGGTAGAATATGTAGGCTGCTCATAAGTAATACTTAAATTTTAATTGAATGCCCTGTGTCTAACATATAAGAGATCTTGGGTGAAAATATGATAAAGTTACTGTAAAAATAATGTATTAATTTCATTTCTTCGGGTACAATAACATTAATCAAGGAAATATTCTGTTATTAATCTCACTAATTTCATTATATTAATTTTTCCCTCTCTAGTAAAGCCATAAGATACAAAATTAATTTAGTTATTTGTATTTTAGGTGATACATTGGCAAATAATCTATTTTCCAAGCATTTCTACTTTTTCTTTAAAATCCAGTGATGTGATTTAAAAATCAAATCATATCCTATCAAGGAGGTAACAGAATTGATTTATTTTTTTTTTCAGAGGCTTTATAATTGATGGCTTATCAGTAGAAAGAAACCATATTCTTGTAAGAATAAATCTTGTTGGTGGGTCATCGGAACGGATTTTGCCTCCAAGAATACTGGAGAAGGTGATGTGATAGAAGAGGGGGGAATATTTATGTGACATGTTTTGAAGCAAGATAGTGAACTCAGGTGACACTAAACAACATCTCCCAAATGTCTGTCACAGAGTTGAACTTTTGTTAGTTGACAGACTTCAGGATGCAAGTAAACACTTTCAAACTGAATTAGTTCTTTTGTTGTCAAAGGATCATGAGTGCTAGTTTCTGCAGCAGAGTAGGTTATTGTTTTATTAAAAAGTTGTGATTCTCCCTGTGTGCTTTTGAATATTTTATTTTCTGTATTTATCTTTCATGACATAACTTTTTTATTAGATGATTATATTTTTATATTTTCTTACAAAATGGAGTCTCTCTCCTTCCCTCAATATACGTAGCCTGGGTTTCTCCTGGAGGTTTTATTTTGTTGTTAAGAGCATTCTTGTTTTGACTGTGACTCTGGGAAAGATTAGACAGAAATGATTGACAACAAAAGGAAAACAGTTTAGTGAGAAA